CACACTAACACGAAGAAATTTCCATTTTTCTTTCGGGGCCAGCACACTGGGAGAAGCAGCAACACAAACAACCCTTTGTCGGTTTCGTGCGAACCGCAACCTGGGCCCCACTTTGTTAATTTATTGCGAGTAATATGTTGAGGTTTAAAACTTGCATAGGAATTATATCCATTATAAGGGGACAAGGTAATAGCAGTGGCTTTAAGATACGATAATAATGTTGTTTCTTGTTGTTCATTCGACGTATTTTTTTTTTTATTAATCGAAAAAATCAATTGTTTAGTTAAATATATATATATGAAAGATATGTTTATATAGAAAATATTATTTTCTATGATAGAAAAACATTCATTATTAAAGTTGAAATATCGTAGTCATTAGCAGGAGGAAGGAGCTGCTGCTGGTCCAAAAGCTTATGGTAATACGTTCAAAGCACGGTTTAACGCTCGGAAAATGCGCAAAAGTACTCCGATTTAGAGCGGACCATCTATAGATTGAGAAGAGACGATTTAACAACAAGGATTCGAACTGACCATTGAATAGATCAAGCGTAGAGAGAGAGAGAGAGAGGGAGATAAAAAGAGAGAAAGAAAGAGAGAGATAGAAGAGAGGAGGTGGGGGCTTGACCAAAGGTTAACGACGAGCTCTTCTCGTAAACCTAATTTCAAACGATGTGAGCTTAAGCGTCGGCACGAGTTGGCGCACGCTCGTTTTCACGAATTCAACGAAATTCCTGTAATCCCGTGACCGTCTATTCAACAGCACGCGTTTCCGATCGTTTCGTTTAAAAGGACCGGTGTGCTGTCGAGTTGAAGAAGAAAAATAGAATGGTCAAGAGAGAAGGAAGGGAGGTTGGGAGGGAGGGAGGGAGAAAAGGAGAAGAATCGTGAAAGTTTACGAGTTCCTCGTCATTGTTGAATGAGAGGTATAGTCCGAGAAGCCGGGTATGTAACTGCTCCACCCGCCGACATTGTTGCGTTTTTGCGACTTGGTACGCGTGCTCCTGACCACTACCAACCACTAACAATACCAACAATGTTCGTAGGGTGTACCGTTTAGTTTCCTTTCCGACATTGTCACCTTTGCTCTAGTGAAAAACGATTCTGCATTTGGACAAACTACTGCTTTCAATTCCGTATCTAACTGTCCTCCCCCTTTTTCACTTCTATTTTATTCCCTTTTTCCTATACTCTTTTTTCTCTCTCTCTCTCTCTCTCTTTATTTCTTTGGTTCCTCTTTCTACGACTCAATCTGCTTTCTCTAAATGCATATACCTCCTATACCTACCCACCGAAAGATTTTCCTTCCAAAAGGAAACCTTTTAATATTCGTTTAGGTATTTTATTTCTCTTTCGGAAGATTTTGAAATAACATTTTTGTGAATTAAAAATAACCCATGTACTTTTCATTCGAATCAAGTTTTGCATTGTCGATTAAAGTTTTCATTTTATAGAGGGTGATATTCTAAACGGGTAAGTGTATTTCTGACATAAAAAAGTCATTCGAAGGTTTAAACGTCACGCGTACGTACGTACGTACGTACGCTTAACTTCTCACTCGGATTGCATTTTCCATGCAATTTAAATCCCGATAAAAATGCCTTCCTTCCTTTCTTCCTTCCTTTTTACCTTTTCGCGCATCGTGAATTATTTTCACAGAAATTCGTGCTACTTTCTCTCTCAGTTATACCACCCACCTACTACCTTCACCCCACTCTCGTCGTTGAAGCTTTTGCACCAACGAAACCGCAGAAATTCTCCAACAGATTTTCAGTCCTCGAGGGCCCATTAAACTCCTATGTATCCCTGTATGTAAATATATACACGTGTGTGTGTGTGTGTTAAAGAATCATTCGAGTTATTTCAATTACTAAACCCTTTAATATTTGCTAAACTTTCAAATTGAAACAGTAAAAACGAATGTAATTGTTCCTTTTTTAAACGCGATATGTTTTTCATGTTTTTGCTTTAGCGCGTCAAGATAAAAAAAGAAGATGTTAATATAATTTTATTATACTTAAAGGTTAGTATAATAATAATAGAAATTAATCATTCGAATTTCAGAATAACATTATTTTTTCATTTCAGGTTATAATCTTATTTATCGAAGCGACACTTCAAACGATACATACAAAATTTACTATAATAAGGAATATAAAATAAACATTTTTTATATTTCCTTAGGTGAATATTGATCCTTTTAGAAAGCTCAAGAAAATCTTAACATAATATCGGAATATCGAAAGAATAGCCGGAACTTATGGGATTTATAAGAAAGAATTTTTCATAAAGAAAGAGGGAAGAAGAAATAAAATAGTATTGTACATTGAAGAACTTTGATGTCAGTCCTTCGGAGCTTTCTAAAGAAAAATTTGTCCTGTGGCTCAAGAAAACTGGTCATTTGAATCTCAAAGGTCAGTCAATCAATGGGTTAAATATTTTGTATTCATGCTTTTGTATTTTCTATTTGTGTTGTTCCTATGTTTTCAAACGAGATTCTAAGTTTAGATTTGAAAATTTTATATCATTTATCATGTTGTCAAAAAATAAGAAAAAAAAAACAAACCAAAATTTCGCTTGATTTGAATGAAAAAAAAAATGTTACAAAATATTTGAGTTATTTATTAATCCTTAAAATAACATTATTTATATCTATGTATTTTGAATATAATATACATATATAAGAAAATAAGATTGTACTACAAAATAATATATAAATATAAAAAGAAAGAAAAGAAGTATAGATGTATAAATAAATGGAATGTATCGATATAGATAGAAAAAAGAAAAAAAGTATAAACCGAACGGTTTTCAGTTGGCGAGTCTGAGAAAATGGATTCGTCAATGGAGAGAATGTAAACGGAAGGGAAGAATGGATCGTTCTGCGGGAACATTTGGAAGGAGAAAGGTACTACCAGGTAGAAATAAAGAAACGAAAGAAAAAGAGAGATGCTGTTAAGTTGACGCGTGAATACTAAACACGCAGTGACGGCACAATGAGGAGCGGCGCCCCATGGGGTGAATTGAACCCCGCCCGTTGAGAACCCCCCATGAGTGGGACTCGACGAAAAGTATGAAAGCCTCGTCGTTCGTCGTCGATCTTTCCGAACCTCGAAACGTTTCGAGACCAACCGCGACGAGCAAGCTACCAACAAGCTCACAGATCAAAACGAACGAACGAATAATCGACTACTCGCCACCGAGTTTTTCCATCCCTTCGATACCAATTTATAAAACGTTTCTCGCACCCCGTGGCTCAACGAACTATAATTTCTGGATCGATTTCGCGTTAGAAAGTTAACGAGGATCAAATCCTACAGGATCATCGCCTTACCGTTTCTCCTTTTTTTTCTTTTATTTCGTTTTGTTTCGTTATACGGATATTGGTTCTCACGATTTTTTCCTCTTTTTTATTTTTGTTTTGTTTGTTTGGCTACCACATCTTTTAAATTGACAATGCGACGAGTTTAAGAATGATGTAAAATATATATAATTATTGTTAGGTATATATTTTAATAGTATTGGAAAATAAACGATGACAAATATTAGAGAGATAGATTCGTTTTAAAGAACATTTTTAATTTTACAAATATTCTCTTGCAATTTTGAATGAATAAAAATAAATGATAAAAATTACAGAGGATTTTAAATTATAAAACTAACGGGGGATATTTCACGCGGAAAGTTGGGAGAGGGAAAATACTGGAAGAAATAATTGAATGTTGTCGACAATATTTCGGAAGGATAAGCGTGATCGTTCGAACCAGGCATTGCAGTAAGACAACGAAACCGAAGAAGAAGAAGAAGAAGAAGAGGAAAAAGAAGAGGAAGAAGAAGAAGAAGAAGAAGACTCACTTGGTGGATTCATTTTGTCGACATGTTTTTCTGCATTCCAAGCTTGGCTCTCCCTGTAAACACTCGGTTTAATCGTAAGAAGGAAATAAAATGATTGCTGCCGAAGGAAGTAACAAAGGGCTCGCCGAGTAGTTGGGTCCTTACGTCGTCGGGTCAAACCAAAAGATCTCGGAGAGCACCTATGTATCCAAAAACGTCATCGTGCAACCTCCGAATGTCAGGGAATTTCTTATTGACGCCCCCCCGCGTACGACACTTTCCGTCTTCGCTGCAACCAAACCGGTTCTTTTTTATGACGGAATATTGCCCTGTCGTTCCTTTTCAGCGGCTCTCAAACTCGATCTATTCTTTCTCTTCGTCTTCCTCTCTTTCATTTTCATTATTCGCCAATGTTCAAACTGCTTAAGTATATCAAATATTTTTTATTTCACCGCGAATCTGTTTTAAAAAAAATATTTAATCTTTTGGTCGCGGTATTTTTTGTTTGACCGAACTCATACAATGATTGCACGTGGAATAGAAATAAATATTATTCATTTGATCGATGCAAAATCCAGTATCAAAATATCACAACATACGTAACATTATAAATAATTGAAATTTGAAGTAATAATAACAATTGGTTAATTCTAATATCAAATGATATAATTAAGATATTAACTAGTTTTCGGTTAAATATAAATAGGATATTAAATAAAAAAGGAAAGGATATTTTAAGGATACGAAGCATGCGAGATCGAACGAAGGAACGAGCCAAGTCTTTAGGAGTCCTTCGTAAGGGGAAGAAATAAAAGATGCGAGACCATGGCCAGTTACCGTTCGTTTGAATCGGCTTCCCAATGAAAGAAACAAACATTTTAAAAGATAAAAAACAAGGAAAGATTGGAAGAGAGAAAAAGAGGAGAACGTAGAAAGTGAAATAAAGGCTTCCCAGTGATTTTGCCATACAATCGATTATGTCCTCTTTATTCGTCGTCCTTTTTCAAATAATAAATGCAACAATAGAGTTTGGTATATTCGTGCGTGCAACATATTAAAAAGATGATTCACGAAATATCTTAACGCAAATGAAATAGACCGATTCAGGAGTAACACACTAATATAATAAGATGGACACAAGATAATTCTTGAATTTGAAAGATATATTTTAAAATACATCGTCTATTCTATTTACTTCCAAAATTGTTCAGGTCAATTTTTCAGATAATAAAAGACTGCCTATGCTTGTAGTTTCTTTCTCGAGAAAAGAAAAAAAAAAAACAAGAAAAGAAAAGAAAAGAAATTTGTCCACACTTTGGCGAGGCGAGTATAATAAAAAGGGGAAAAATCGGATGCTACGCCAATGGGGGAATTGCAGTGGAGCCAAGAGGGTCTGTGAAGAAGAAGAAAGAGGGAAAAGAAAGATAGAGAGAGAGAGAGAGAGAGAGAGAGAGAGAAAGAGTGAGAGAACGATGGTATAAGGCTTAGGGGTGTGAAGGGTAAGAAGAGGATCACTGTGTGTCGATAGGAGGAGCTTGTTGGTAGAGAGTAGATGGTAGTGGGGTGATAAGTGGGCCGGCCTTCTTCGAATCGTGTCCGCCCCACTCCGCTGGAATCCCCGGTTCTCGGCGTGGCCGTGAAGTTGCGCCGATTAGCCGCAGGGCGGCGCTGTATTCGGCTGGAAGCGGTCGCTGGTGTGCCGGTTCCCTCACTCCGCGTCGCGGCTTTCTCGTCGGAAGACGGGTTCTCACTTTGGAGACCGTGTTTTAAACTTCAAACGACGAACCACCACAAAAGCTTCTCGAACGAGAGCGAACTCGAGATGAGATCATTCGCAATCTCATATTTTTCGCGAGACGACCGCTCGTCAATCGTTGCGATTACATTTTCGCGTTTACCCGACGAACAGTGAGGATTTAAGAGTGCGTCAAACTTGTGATATGTAATCGAGTGCGACTACATCGTCTCTTCGTCATTGTCATCGTAATCATTTTCATCGTAATCATCGTCATCGTCAGTGTTAACCAAACCTTTCCTACGGAAGAGAAATAATTAAAAGAAGAAAAAAAAAAGAAAGAAGAATTTCTTTTCCATCGCAATTAAAAATGATTACTAAGTCATCGTCGTGTTGATATTTATTTCGTTGATACCGCGCATCATTCTATCCGTGAAAAAGAGTGAGAACGATAGCGAGTGGTGCGAACGATCGAGTGCATTTTCTTTTTTCTTTTTCTATTTTTATATATATTACATACGCGAACGTGATAATATCCGAAGATATTTTTCTCATCTATATCCTCTATCTATCTATTTATTTATTTATCTCTTTGTTTCTTTACTTACCTCTCTTCTATTTTCTCTCTCTCTCTTTCTCTCTTTCTCAGCTTGTCGTTCAAAGGCAACAAGGGAAAAAGGGATCGAGCTCATGGAGATGTGCCCGTGAGGGCGCTGCTATTTGCAGCATTCAATTATTTTCGTCGCGAATATAACAACACAACGAACAGAAGAATAATTAATATAAAAAAGAGATAATAAAATATAAATTACATAATATAAATATGATGATCGGATGAGGACGTGGAGACGAGTAAGAAGAAGAGGGTGGTAGACAGATAGTAGTTGGAGGGAAGAGGGTTGTTGTGGTTTCGCGGCGAGAACGAGGAAGCTAGAAAGGAAGAGGAAGAAGAGGACGAGGAGGAGGAGAAGGAAGAGGAGGAAGAGGAGGAGGTGGAGGAGGAGGAGGAGTCGCTCAACGGTGGCGGCGGTGGCAAAGGTGGTGGTGGTGGTGGTGGAAGAAGCAGAGGAGAAGCCGCGCACCGGACGCCATCTCCGCGTTATCGGCAAGCGGATCCCCCGGGACTCCCCCCCAAGCAGCTTCGACGTCGCGCACCCTCGCTGGGAATTACCCCGAGACAGAAATCACCCTGATGGGAGTGTATGAGGAGCGCGCCCCTCCTACCACCGGCATGCACTGGGTGAGTTTCATCCCCCTTTTCATTCAACAAAAACAACTATGGATGAACATTTATTTTCTCATACGTTTTATACTCGACATCTTCTTACCCTCCCCTTCAAGCCCCCATTTCTTTTTTTTTTTTTTCGTCTATTTATTCTTCCACCAATTTACACGTCTTTTCTCGGTTTCTTATTGATAGCTACAAAGATTCGAATAATCTCGTACTTTGTTTTGTTTGATTATTATATTCGCGCGTATCGAGTTGTCATTTGATTTTACGTTGGCGTATGTTTTTTTTAGAATATGTCTAATGTAATAATTAGAGGTATGGTAATTAATTTTCTTATATCTTTAGAATCTATAGAAAAATGTTTAATTGAATATCGGTAATCAATTTTGCAGATTTTCAACGGTTTCGTTAGAATTTTTTGATGATATGTTACAAAGACTACGAATAATATTCCTAATAATAGTAATACTCGTGGTAATATATGTATTTTTATTATTTATCAAATGTTATAAGAAATTGTTTCAACAATTAAACGTCTTAAAATGATAATTAAAAGATGTCCTTTGTTTTTTTGTTGCATTTGCATAAATCTACAAACTTGATTCACGTTATATGAGTGAAGAATTCTTCTGAATTTTGAAGTATAGATATTGTCAAGTTCAAGTCGCGTTATAACGTTCGAATCCTTCATCTTTAATATACCGAAGAAAAATCAATATTTTCAATAAAAATTCATAGATAATTACGTGAAGCTCGTGCGATGGTTTAATGACAATTGTTTTTCGATTTTTCTTAGACTCGTAAGACTACCCTGTACCTCCGGTTTACCGTTAAAGGCTTAGACAGCTCTTACTTTGGTTTATTCTACGTAACACTCTTCGTATTTCTCTCCTTTCGTGGTTAACCTGTTAACCGGCTTCGTTCTCTTCTAAAGTGAATGCGAATACTTAGTTATTTGTTTCTAATACAAATCTAACGATGCAATTTAATGATAAATGATTTTTATTTTTGACGAGTAAATCAAAAAAAAAAAAAAAAAGAAGAAAAAGAAACACAACAAGTTTATAATGATTTATTTATTTTGACGTTGGATTTAATTATCAATAACCATGAAAATAAACTGACAAACTGCGTATACTTTTAAATAGAACGTAAAAAGAAATGGAATATTCCTAATACTTTTGACTTGGTCATTAAGAATATATCGTCGAATTCAGAGTGTGTTGTGTTCATGGATGAATCCGAGGCTTATCGGCAATGTAACGCCCGGTGATATATTCCCAGAGCGAACATGGCAAACGGGTTTCTCGGTTTCTTTCTCGCGTCGTTGTAGATTGCGCGTCTTGTCGAGATTGGAAAGACGGGGGGAGTGGGAACAGAAACAAACAAAAAAGAATGAGGAAAAAAGAAGTAAGTAAAATGATTAAAAAACAAAAAGTAAGAAGAACATAAAAGGAAAGTAGGTGTTGGAAAAATGGTGCATGCCATTTATTCTAACGATTCTAGCCGTGTTTAATCTCATATTTAAATATGAACATTTTGTTTTTCTTTGTTTCGTCAAAGTTATTATATATAGAATTAAACAATTGGTATATATTTCAATTTGTATAACAGAATTCGAATACTTCGAATTACAATTAGAATTTGATACTCGTAAATATTTAAAATTTGTTACTTTAGAAATATTATATAGCGTGCTTTATATATTTGTGCATTATTATTTGCATAGTAGTATAGGCAAATATTAGAATTCAAATATACAAAACAACGAACGGTCGTTTTCCAATAAAAAAAAATGATGACGAAATAAAAGAAAAAAGAAGCAGAAGAAAAAAGGGGATTGCGAAATGGACGACGATGGTACGAAGTTCGGATCCGCCGGCAAGGTCAGAATTATACATCGGGAGTATCGTGACAAGCTTGTGGTCCCTATCGTCATCAACGATGTTCTTCCTTCCTACGCTTGGTTCGCGCTTCAATGCGTTCCTCTTATTCGAACTCGTTTCAAACCAAGACTCCAAGCTCGATGAACTCCACTCGCACGCGATTTTCTTCACGATCATCATTCGTCCAAATACTTTAACCAGTGGTGTCGCAAACTCGCACTACTATAAATCCCCCTTAACTACAAGATGATATTTGAAACATCGATATGCAGGCTTTTTTCTGTAGGCTTAAAGTTTACTTAGAAAAATCTGTTATTTTTTTTTTTTTTTAAGAACATTTACCACCCATAAAATTTCATTAAATTAAATTACAGTTCTGCAATGCACATATTTACGCGTGTTTACAATTGAATTATTTTACTATTGCTAGTTTTAAGAGCTTAATTATATATATATATAGGTATATGTGGATATAATATTCACGAACCACCATGTGGTTGAAATTCAAATCTCATCAATTAATTTAGGAAACCAGAATATGTACAAATTGTATCTACATGTTTACACGTGTGTTAGGATTGTAGGGAATATGAATTTGATATTATCGTTCTAGATCCTTAGTGTATTTATATATGAAACAATCTTTATCTTATTGTTAGATTAAAGAAATGAAAAGAGAGAAAGAGATGAAACATCGGGTCATCGTACAAATCGAACATCGAAAGGCGAAGGATCGACTTTCGTTAATTGGCCGTATGTGGAACGTATATACGTACAGCTTGTAAACAAGCGTAATCGATTGTAGAGTGTCAGTCGTTAATCGAGTTGCATCGTTCCTTGATATTTGCCTAAAGTTCGACGAATGAAAGTATCTTCGTAAGGTGGTGGTGCATCGACCTTCGGATTTGTACAAACGTCATTAACACTGAAATTAAATCAAAACTATCACTAGAAACAATTGGTTAAATAGAATAATGCCAATTTTTGCCATTAACATTTTATTTCTAACAATGTATCTTATGAACAACCGATTCAATGTAAATTCAAAATGAAATATTTGAAATTGTTTGTCGTATCAATAACAAATTATAAATCTTCGAATTGTTGGTGAAAATTGTTCCGAACCGTCGATCGTATTCTACTTTCGTTTGTTTTCTAATTTAAATGAAAATTAAACGAACAAACAAAGAAACGAAGAAAAAATGTTTTTTTTTTGTTTCCTAAGACACAAAGTTAAATTCCACACGGTGTGATAAGATTCCGATGGTCGTTGGGTATAGAACCGTTAGAAAATTATATAATAGCATATTTAAATAGGTTAATTGTTGGTAGGTAATTTTAGCGTTAGAAAGATATCGAAGTTGTTTTTTATCGATGAAGAAAAAGGAATTTGAGAACTTTAGATTGACGTGTGAGTGATAAAAATGGGCGGGCGGCGGCAGCCAACAGCCCAAAAGTATATGAAAAAATTGTTCCTTGTCATTCATCGCAAGGAATATTGAAAGAAAAGTATGGAAGAGGGATAAGAGAGGTCGAGGTCGATTTTTAACTTTAGGAGGATATATTCATAGGATATCGTTCGGACACATACATACGTTTTCGAATCCGTTTTATTATAGCCCTGTCTCCAGACGAAATTAATTATCTACGAGGCACAGAACCGGTAGAGAGAAAGAGGTTCCGTCACCCTTTCGGCCTTCTCAAAGGTACGTCGTCGATAAAAAGAAGCACGCTCGTTTCCTCTTATTCTTATTTTTTTTATTCTTCATTTTCATCTTCATCGTCATCTTAATTTTCTTCATTCGTTTCGTTTACAAATCTTTTCGGCAAAGCTCAATCGAATTATCGAAAGGAAAATAGGAGACAATGGTATTGGTGTGCAGTTTGAACGTTTACGATTACGTCCGACGGACGGATGAAAACTATGCGAAAGGGATGATTCGAACATTCTACATTCTATTTTCATTCGAACTTAATTATTTCAATATCCTATACACGTGTCCACGCATCATATTTGCATATCGATTATTCTCTAAGATGTTGCATTAAAACGTAAAGATATGATAAAGAAGAAGAAAAAAAAAAACAATAATTGCGAAAATATAGATAAGAATCCTCTTGCGATGATTAATAAATTATCTATCTTTATTTTTTGTTTTGTTGCTTTGAGAATGATCATTTATTTGATTAGTTTGAAAATATTTATTATTAACATGTTTTCCAAGAAGAAGAAGAAGAAGTAATAGTATAGTAATAGTAATAGTAATAGTAGTAGTAGTAGTAGACGAAAAAGAAGAACAAGATTAATAATAAGAAAAAGAAACAGAAAAAGAAAGACACGACGATCGAGATAAGAACTCGACCTCGTGCAGTCTTCTTACATCCGGCATGTGAACGATTTTAAAAATAACTATATCGATATAGTCAGTCATTTTCGGAACTTCGAACTAAATAATCGCATTTTGCGTATATATTTATATTGCATAGAGGAATTTATTCCCAAAAGCGATTGGAAAATTTCGTTGAACACGCAGAATAACCACATATTATAAACGATAGAGTGATTATTATAGTAACCGACGAGATAAGGACATCATTCTCTTTTCTCTTTCTTTTTTTTTTTTTTGACTCTTTCCTTTTTTCTTTTCTTCTTTATTTTCCTTCCCCCTACCGACAGCGTGTCTGCTCGTGATAGCAGAGTCCACCGAGTTTGCTTCGACCATAATTTATTACTCGGCTCGTGTGTTTTCTCATGTGTTTACACATGATTGCTCATCCAACATTTTGAATACTGATCGACACACGAATGATCTTTATGAATCACAAATCCATCAAAAGATATCACGAATCCATACGTTTTTTCATCTATTTAATTCGTACTATATTTGATTTTCGCGTTATGCGTTAACAAGTACGCGTAAAAACAGTTTCGCAAAAGTTACTTTACCAAGAACAGAAAAAAGAAAACGAAAAAAGAGAAGAAATTAGAACATTTTGTTTTATTTCATTTGAAGATATTAAATATTCAGCAGTGTTGTTTAAAACACAGCATGAAAAAATCACAATGCTATTCATTCCAAATACCTGCTAATAAAAATATTTAATTTCTTAGTAGAGTAAAAT